GCTGCAAAACGCAGCAAACTTAATTGTAAAACTTTGCATATCTTCGCAAATATATTTTGAGGATGTTCCCTGCGGCAAAAAACGTAGAGACTCCTCTCCCTTTAAAGCAGATGTTTGCCCTCGCAGTGGTGTTACTCAACGAAAGTTTTAGCTCCACCATGCTCCTCCCATATGTGGGACTACTCATCGCCCATCTTAGGAATCGACCAGCCGAAGAATCGGGTTACCTGTCTGGGCTAATGATTGGTGTATTTATGTTTGGGCAGGTTGTGAGCGGGAAGTATTGGGGGTACCTGAGTGACAAGTACGGTCGTCGCGCACCTCTTCTTGTTGGTCTTCTGAGCAGTGGCTTTATGATGCTTGGGTTTGGTCTTGGGAAAACAGTATGGATGTGTATTCTGTTCCGCTTCTTGCATGGTCTTTTTAATGGCAATGTTCTTGTGGCTAAGACAGTGCTTGCTGATATTTTGGACGAAACAAATCAGGCGAAGGGATTTACTTTGGTCAGCCTGACGTACGGCTTTGGAACTCTCATTGGCCCCGCGGTGGGTGGCGTCCTCTACGACCCAGCAAACAGTAATATGATGCAGTGGGCCGGATTTAGCAAAGAAGGCATCTTTTCTCGCTTTCCGGGCTTACTTCCAGCAGTTGTGCTTTGTCTTTACATTAACCTGGGCGTGTTTGTGTGCATTGTGTTTCTGAAGGAGTCCAACCCGAAAGCTCAACCACTGCCACGGTGGTTAGCTGTTTTGATTCCGTGCTTTCGGGAAGCAAAGGAACCCGAATTAACTTTGAGTGGCGCCACTGATGTTGTTTTTGAGAAGATGGCAGATCTCAATGACTTTCAGGAGGACAATAAGAGCACGAAGAAGGTCGAAGAGCCGATGGTAATGAAAAGATCATTTCATGGGGATATGCGTCTGGGTTTGGAGCCAACAGAACTCGGAGAAAGAGGTTATAAACTGTCCATTATGGATGATATGGAGGAGTTGGAAATGGATTACGAGGAGGACGGGGAAAAAATGCAAGAAGAAGAAGATCATGATGCTGTGAGGGATCCCGAGGGTGTGGAGCCATTTGGATACAAGGAGGCTTTTCTACTCCCCATTACAAGAAATGTTTTGGTTCTTTACATGCTCCTTTCCGGCGCTGATATGGCATACGGGGAAACATTCCCATTATGGGCCATTGCCAACAATTCCGTTGGCGGACTTGAGTACAGCTCTGGTATTGTGGGTTTGTTTCTCTTGTCAAACAGTTTGCCATGTGTTGGGGCAAACCTTCTTTTTCACATTGCTTGTCGTGTCGCCGAAGATAAAATGGTTCTTTGGCAAATATCAATGTACGCCATGGCTTTTGGTGTGGGTTTGGTTCCATTTGCCGCCTATATTCCACCTGTTGGACAATTCATCATGATATTTATATGTGGCTTTTTGCGGCAGTGGTTTGCTGCCTGGGCGTATGGCCTGATCACGCTTTTTACCGCCCGTGTTGCTCCCCCTGCTTGTCTGGGGACTATGTATGGCATTAGCCAATCATGTGGCGCAGCGATGCGGTGTGTTATTCCAATTGTGGCTACGCCAATATTTGCGTGGTCCATATCCGGAAGTCACCCTCCACCGTTTAATCACATGTTTGTGTTTCTCATAGCAGCAGCCGTATTTGTTGTTGCGGCCGTTATTTCATTTGGCGTCACCATGGTGATACATTCTGCCAAAGAAATCGTCGTGGAGGAATCTGTCCTCCATGATTCGGGCGAAGAAGACACTCCCACCACTGAGCATCGCGAGTAGCTTTTATGGCAAAAAGGAGGGAAGCAGAAGGAAGGGAGCAACAAAAGGAGAATGGCAAGTCCCGCATTCCAAACATTGATAAGAATGTAATTCAGCAAATGAAACAAGTGAAGTTGAATAAATTATTAATATTACTTCTTTTGTTCTTGTTTTTTTTTTTTTTTTTTTTATGTTTTGGTTTGATTGTTTTGGTTTGATTGTTTTGGGTTTACTTTGTTTGTGTTTTTGTCCTTTGTGGAATTCTCGCCCGGGATCAAATGCAAATTTCTGTGTGTGTACGGTGGATGTGCCCGAAAAAGTCATTTAATTCTTTATTATTATTATTATTATTTTACGAGAATGCACCCATCCCACCCTAATCCAACCCCCCCCCCCCCCTCCTCCTCCTCCTCTGTCACTGGCGATTTATGTTTGTTGCGCACTCTGTTGTACTCGGCTTGCACTTATCACTAAGGCTTTGTTGCTTCTTTTTGCGGGGACGAACGGCTTTTTTCACTCTTCCCAGAAACCTGTGGATATATAATATGCGCACAGGTGAAAATAAATAAATAAGAAGGAGCGTCTTGTTTGAACACTCTATTTTTTTCTGCACGACCCGATTGTTATCTTCCGTGATATCGCAATGTGGATTTCAGCGAGCGCGGTTTTGTGGTTGTTGTTGTTTCTTCTGTTATCCCACCCATCCCCTGTTACTTTCCTCCACGAGGGGGGAGGAAGCCTGGCAGATGCGGGGGGACATAAATGAAGAATGCTGTTTTTTGCGTCCACAACAAGCTCGGTTTTTCGTAGACTGATGTATGAATCCATTTGTGTACGAGCGTTGGGCGGATCTCATCTGAATTGGGAGCCGTTGGGGAGGGCGCATTGAACCAAATTTTGATCGCCCCTCGTTGTAGTCTTGTCTCTTGTGGGAAGAAATGACAAGGCCTCATCCAGACGCAAATTTTGTTCACGTTTTTTTCTCTTTTTTTTTTTTTTTTTTGTCTCTATTTTCTCATATGATTACATTTAATATTATATTCGGTAACGTATTTAGATGAATCGCGGGAAACACATGAAGCTCTGAACAGGGGAAGGGGAGGGGAGGGAAGAGAAATATATATATAATTGTGAGTGCAGAAGGAGCAAGCGAGGAACGTTTCTTTTTGATGTTGTTGTTGTTTTTCTTTGCTTTGGGGGAGGGGAGTCTTCTATATATCTGTGTTGTTGTTTTTGTTGTTTTGTTTGTTTGTTTGTTTTTTGTTCCTGTTTGTGTCTGTGCGTGTGTGCTTTTGGTGCCTTTACGCCTCACGACACTCCGTTGAGTCTTCTTTCACCCCCCAACTCTCTGTGTGCATGGTGTTGAGGGCCGAAGGCCTTTTCCCTATCCTGCTTCTTTCCGTGAGGTGGCGGTGGTAGGAAGGAGAAAGAAGGAAGGAAAAAGGGGGAATTGATTGATAGAAAGAGAGAGAAACAAACGAAGAGCACTTGGTTGAGTGAGAGGGAAAAAAGGGGGCGAAAAAAAGATGCGAACGGGACAACACAGTTTTGGTGGTAGTATTGTCTCTTCAGGGGCGGTCATTGCAGTGTCCGCCGCTCTTCACGTATTTGCAACGCGGACTCTTTCAGCCGCTGTGGCTTGCTACGCTCCCGCTATTTCATGGGGATTTACATGTCTGTGCCTGCGGAAGGGAATGAGCTACACTTACGTGCTGATTTTTACGTTACATTTGGTTCTTGCATCCGTATGTTACTGGAAATTTGGCAGCTCAAATGCCATTTTAAATCGTAGCCTTCTTTATCCGTTGGCGGGATCAACGATGGCGTTGCTCTGTACCTCCCAGCTGCCTCGTGTACCGAATTCTGGCATGATTGGGGTGGCACTTCTTCAGGGATGGTCCACGCTTGGAGGGGTTCTGATGTTTCTGATATTCCCAGCAACTGTTCTTAGCAGCATTGAGCCGCAGGATTTGCGTGAAAGCCGTTTGACAAAATTTATGCATCAAACGGATGGAAAACATGTGGAGTCACTCACCGTCCCGTCAAAGCATGGCGTTAACTTGGACGTTTTATTGGTTAAGAGAGAGGAGGATATAGATCGTTGGATAATTTACTTCGGCGGAAATGCAGAGATGATGGAAGACAGTGCGGAGGATATGTCCAGCCTCACGCAGATAGTTGTGGCAAACTGGGTTTTCTACAATCCGCGGGGGGTTGGGCGCAGCAGTGGATATGTAGCAGAGGTACGGGACCTTATTGACGACGCAGTCACTGTTGTCCAGCACATCTCCGCACGGTATTTGATTCCCCACAAGAAGCTTTTGCTTTGGGGACATAGCATTGGGGGAGGTATTGCGGCAGCCGTGGCGCGGCGTGAATGTATGGAGTGCCCCCTTGTCTTGGATCGAACCTTTTCACGTCTCTCCGATGCGGCCGTTAAGTTTTCACCCCTTTGCCCAGCCCTGACAAGGCTTTTGATTCGAAACACGATTGGGGATCTTGATGTGGTTGCGGATTTTAAAGCAGCAGCGAAGAACAAGAAGTTGGTGATTTATCATCGCATGGATGAAGTCATCGCGTACGACGTCGCTTCGTTGGGTCGCAAGGATGCTCTTAGTGAGATGCATGTGAATGAAAGTATGGTGGTGGAACTGCGTAGTACACGTGTGCAGTCGCCCCATAACAGCCTTCTTTCGGCGTTTGAGGAAAGGATGAAATTGTGTCGCTGCGTTAACGCGCTGTTTTCCTGAGGAGCATAACGAAATCTGCCTGCTTTTTCTTATATATATATATATATATATATATATATATTTATTTATTTGTGGTTCTTCCAGGGAGTCTTCTTGGTCCCAGCAGGTTTCATCGTCCGTAGGAAACGAGAGGACCCATTGGGTGCGCCACCGATTATGTTTCCAGAAGAACAAACTGAGGCGACTGCTGTTCGGCTTCCATCTTGTTGATGTTGTTATTTTTCTCCTGCCTCTACTTCTGCTCTCTTGAGAAGACCCTTTTGTTCTTCTGCTTCTTCTACACACACACACACTTGTCTCTTCCTTGCTGCTTTGGCTGGTTGAAGCGTTTAAAGAAAAAAAAAAAAACATTTGGGGGGGGTAAACGACGGCATTTGCGCCTTGTCCAGTAGCTGCCTCTGTGGGTGAGTGCTGTTCAAACCCCAGCATCTTTAAGGCACTACACGTAATTGCAGGGAGGGACGAGAGATAGAAGGAAATGACGGTTGTGAGTCAACAGGAGGAGTCTCCACGGCAGTCTGACGAGACGGCAAGTGGCGATGGCGTGGATGTGCGCAACGCCCAGCCAGACCTGGAGGGGGCATTTAAGGAGGTGGTGACGCGTTCCCTGGACGAGATTCTTCAGAAGCGGCCGAAGGACCCTATTCGGCTCCTTGCCGATCGTCTGTTGGAAAAGAGTGACAGCCACGAAGTTGAACAACACGAGTGCCTGGTGGGAAACGCCATCCGTTGCACACTGAAAAAGGCATGCACGCGCAAAAAGGGGGCAGATTTGTGTCAAGTCCCTGGTCTGCCGTTGCTTCAACTCACTGTACCCACCGCCTTCGAGCTTGATGCAGCGCTGCGACACCTTGAGACACTCACACCTTCCAACGCGAGGGTTATCATATTTGTTGAGCCGCCCAACCCACCAACGGATCTTTTCTTTGTGAAGGGCGTGCCGTACTTTACGGATATCACGGAAAAACTTCTTCTTCAGCGCCGCCGTGGGGCAACAGATGACATATTGCTCGGTGAAGGTGACGATGAGCGTGTGGGATCCTCTAAAAAAATGACATCTCTTCTTCAAAAGGCGCTTCTTTTGGACGTCAAGACCCTGCAGGAGGAGTTGGCCGATTTAGCCACTCCCCTCTCACGATTCTGCATCGTTCAGTTACCAGAGGTCCAGAGTAACTTTTTGGAGGTGTTTGATATTATTGATAAAGCCTTTGGCGTGCGGAAGCACTACTGGAATGTACGGACCACCGCTCCTGCAGAGGTTCCCTCTGCTCTTCTTGCGTCGTTTAACCCAAGGATGTCTAACATGACCTTTTCGAGAATCATCGCGGCCATATTACCCTTATATGAACAACTGCAGCGCCGCAAGATTGCGGCCACGCTGGAGAGGAATAAGGCACGTGTTCAGCAGCTGAACTATAGCTACATTACACAGTACTGGACAGAGGTGTTGCAGCGGCGGGACAAAAGGGATCAAGAGCGAGCAAAGTTAAACGCATTGTCCCCGCAAGGTAAAGCACCCAATCAAGCAATTTCTTCAAGGGCAAAGAGTTCACCGGGCAGAAAGAGGAGAAAGCAACCCAATGCACTCTGTATGTCACGCAACCAGAGGCGTGAAAATGAAGATGCCACGTTCCTTCGCGTATCGCAGCGGCTGCAGTCTCAGGCGGCAACACGTATTCAGGCACTTTACCGAGGCTACCGATGTAGAATAACAATGGTCAAATTGCGTTCACAACGAGAGATGGTTCCCGATACGGCATGCTGGGTGGAGAATATACCAACCTCGCTACCAGTACTTCTTCAGCGGTGTTTGGAGCGTCTCAGCGTGTCACATGGGGAGCTATTTGGAAATTATGTAGTCTCATGCCCACCTTCGCCGCGATGTGTCACTATTCTGAAGCCATTACGCAGGGTGCTCAAAAAACAAGAGGAAGATGATGTGGATAGTGAGACCGAATCGTGGGAAGAGGAGACGGTCATTTTGCCATTAAAACGACAAACAAAACCCATTCCACACTTCAATGCCCTCCGACGTCTTATGGAATGCGAGCTTCTTGGCAGGTGCAATACTATTGACTATGCCACTTCTATCCAGCAGGACTGCAGCGGTCTCTCGGTGCTGCAAAGACATGCGTACGACTGTTACAAATCATTGGTGCTAAATCTGATGCACATTGCCTTTTTGGAATTATATTACCGTGAAAGGTTACCTGCGGTTGTGGCGACGTTCCCCGAGTACATGTACCGCTTCCACAGGGAAGTATTTGGTTGGCTATCGGCACCACATCTCTTTTCCCGCATGGCTCTTCGAGTCTTGGGCGGGGATGCACCTCTGCTCCCTATTCTCTGTGAGAGAAAAGTGATGGAAACAGAACGCGTATTACTCACGGGGGCTTCTAGAAGAGGAAGCGCTTTTGAGTTTTCATCCCAATGCCAATCTGAAAAACAGGAATTGCCCTCTCAAGATGATCAAAGTTCAGAAGAGATGAGCCTGCCGGTCCTCTCGATGGCGTTGGGAGGATTTGCTAGTGAGTGGACTTGCCAGGGTGTGCACGCAACGCCGGCCTTCCCTACAGAGGTCGTATGGGAAATGACCTTACGTGAAGTATCCCTCACCTCTCAAGAAGGTAAAGTTGCATGGTGGAGCCTTCCGCCTTATCCTGCCGTTTACCTCAACGGGGAGGCGTTGGTGCTGGTTCCGCGGCACGAGCTGCAGGAAGTGCATGGTCGACCTCGGTTTGACGATTATGTCGTCCCCATTGAGGAGGCGACAAAGGAGTCTCCGGTTCTTCCGCAAACCTTATTTGACAACGCGGCGGTGGAAAATTCACGTGCGGAACGTTCCCGATGCGGCTACAGTGGAGTAATTGATGGTCTCTCCACAACCAATTTTGAGGGAAAGTCTCCTGTAGAGGCCATGACACGTGAAGATCCACCCGTATTGGATGAGGTATCGTGTTTTTCCACTTTTGGACTCTCACTTCGGGGGGAAGACTTCCATCTGGCGCGCCTGATTAACCGAGAGAGAAAACTTCACCCCTTGGGAAATTTAAAGCTGTACTCAACAGTGAATCTGGCAGGTCCATACGGGATCCCCATGGCTCATGCTAGCCAACAACCGTTCGTGTTGGCCCAACAAAGTGATATACGAAAGCTAGATGAATCTTTCTTGCATGAAAGTATTTACTTGGCTGGTGTATCGAGCTCCATAAGTCGATCAAATCGACGCTTTCGCTCGCGGCAACGTGGGTCGTGGTGCAAAACACTAGAAGCCGTCAAGAAAAATTTTTTCTCCTCTGAGAAGCTTCAGGCCTCATGGGAAACCTCCAAATATGCTCTATCCAAAAGAAACTTTCTGGTCTCTCCAGAAGTTACCAGTAGGCCCCGCCGTGAAGCCCCGACAAACCCCAATTCTTTAATTGAGGCAGAGACTGTGGATGTTATGGCGCGCAGGCTGGCCCAGCGTGTGCTTAAGGGAGCGGATTTTGTGCATGAAAGACCCTGGATTACACCTGTCTGCGGCCGGGCGTGGGTGTTGGTGTTTGAGCAGTTTGCCTCCAAATGTTACTCTCAAATGTGTGAAGGGTATTCCATCGTCATTTCGATGGGCGATCCATTTCAGGTGATGCTCTTTAACGCTGTCTGTCTGCTAAAATATGCCAGGCAGTCAAAGGGGAGGAATTCAGAGGAAGCCATTGAATCTTCGACGTTTGGCGCTTCTTCACATGATCATGCGGCTTCGCCTTCTTTCTCCCTGCTGTCGGACGAAACGGCCTCATGCCTCGCGTTCATGGATGGATTCTACGAGTGCGTGAGTGGGCTCCTGAAGCAAAGCGATGTCTCCGTCCCGGAGGTGGTGTATGTGGTGCATAAAATTATGCATGAAAATTCTCCGGGTGGCATGATTTTCTTGAATGAAATTCCTGCGCTCATGAAGAGTGCAGAGCGGGAGACGGATCCCCGCCTGTTGGTGGATGGCATACTTGCCATTGTGCAGCGTATTGAACTGTATTGCTGGTTGGTTCTCTTCCAGGCATTTTTGGCGTCACTTGCGGCAGAAGGTGTCGTTGACGAACGAGGCGATGTGGTACTTTCTTCCTTCTCCGCGTTTGTTGATGACACTGCCCTTATGACATGGATGGAGCAATTTGACCCATGGAAAAACACCCCGGGGAAGTCTCCTGATCCGTTTCACCTGCGCTACAGCAATGGATTGCGCCGCTGGGATGATCGCAACTACATCTTCTCTGGTGCTCTTTGATAAATTGTATCATGTTGTAGGAATTGCAATGTAAATAATGAAATTCCGATGATGTATGAAACGCGATGTGACTGAATTGTCAATATTCCCCTTCCGCTCTGTTTCTCAGTGGGTGTGGGGGAGTGGAGTTCTGCCCGCACGCTCGCCCGTTGCTCTCACACATATAAGCGTCAAATATATTCAAGCACACGTGCATGGATTCCCACTGCGAATTGTTTTCTCTTTTTTTTTTTTCATGTATCTTTTTCTGCCCCTCTCACCAGCTTGCGTGGTTTCCCTAAAATGTGGTGGACGCTGCGCCTCTTGCAGCGGGAAACGGGCACGTCCTCGGCGCTTTCGCTCACCGAGGCATGTGTCACACGGCAGTTAACGACAAAAAACATACGAAGGCCAAAGAAAGTGCAACGTCAAATGTGGATGGACCGGATGAAAAAAAGACGACGTGAGCGGGCAAGGATGATCGCTGCACACGAGGAATCCCAAAAGGCATCCATGAACAACCCCACTTTGAGTGGCCGAGACGTCATCATGGCTCAACTTGCCAATGAAATATTTAGCCGAGGACACAAACATGTCTGCTGCGCAACAAACATCTCGTTTGTGCCTGATGGCAACGCTGCCATGCCTGAGGTTGCACTCGCGGGGCGTGGGAATGTCGGCAAAACATCACTGCTTCGTTCCCTTTTTCGGGCTTCACGCGAGGTTGGGCGCTCAAACGTCAAGTTACGTCGTGATGCAATGAACTTCTTTAACGTTGGGGGCGGTGTGTTCAATGTGGTGGATCTGCCAGGGTTTGGCGGTACATCCGTTCCGTGGTCAACTGTGTTGCAGCATGCCGTCCTGCTTCGCAACTTTGTGCAGTACCGCCCAAGTTTGAAAATGCTATATTACTGTATGGATGTGCACTATAAGCACGGTGTATACATCCAAGACATTGACATTCTAAGATTTCTTTCAAAGGAGGTGCCGAACTTTACAATTGTTCTGACAAAGGGCGATCAGCTCGACACGACAAAATCGAATGACGCGTTTCGTCTAGAGGATATCCGAAGGGAATTACTTTTTCATGACATCACTCACCCCGTACTTGTCACCAGTGCGTACCACATGGGTGGTATCGATGCATTGCGTTTTGACATGGTGATGAACTGCATGCACGCCGTCCCAACCGAACGCCTGACGCTGACAGAAGCAAAAAGACTGTCGGAACGTCTGCTGTCACAACGCGAACTCGGCACAGTACGTCAGTTGGACTTGCCGCCTACGCAGCTTCAGGAAGACCTGATAGCGTGGGAAGCTGAACTACGGCAGGAGCGGGCCGCAGGAGGAGTAACAGAGAGAGAAGATGCGGTGGAAAGCACGGAGAGAACAATTGCTTCAGAAGGCAAAGTGGAGGAGCACAAAATCTCTGTGGCGTCCAGCATTAAAAATGGCTACAACAACAACAACAATAACAGAAGTGAACGCAGCGAGAAAGAGTCAACATCAATGGTGGAGATGCATTCATCAGGCTGTTCCAACGCTCTACTTGATCCTGATCGAGAAGTGGCCTTTGCTTCTCTCTGCAAGAAGTTGACAAACAATGCCCTGATGAGTTACGTAAAACAGACAAGTCCGTGGCGCAATCCACTTGTGTGGCCAACGAACGTGATACCAACAAAACATCCAAAGTCAAACATTATGCGATGCCCCGAGGATCCGCAGAATCCATACCTTACTCAGGCTCACTTTGTCTGCCCCCGAGCGGACATGCTTTTTCGTCGTCCCAACGTGGGTGTGCGTAGGGCTTCGAACAAGGGCCGATATGAAGCCGACCGACCGCTTGCATTTCTCATGAAACCGTACACAGTGCCATATTTTCCCGATATTGTGGACGTTAATATGCACCCGCTGCCTTGGACTTTTCTTGGCAGCCGTGAGGCCTACTATGAGAAGAATGGTGGTCGGCACCTGGGTGTACGCCTATCGCAGTACGCCTCCACCGGAGAAGTTCGAGCCCTCGCGGATAATCCAGCACCCGCCGAGCCGGATCTTACGAAGGAGGTCCGGGCGCTTGAGCGGGCCCGCTATGGATCCCCTATTGCGATGCTGCGGCCGCCTGAAAAGGCGCATAGGGAGGCTAGCGCTCCTGTTGTTATTGATGTTGGCGTGGCGAATAACGAACGTGCGGATGAATGAGGCGACAGTCATTTGTTTCCAGCACTAACAATACTACGAAGACTACTTTATTATGTTTCCCCCCTTTCGACAGATATTTTTGAATAGCGAGGAAGACAATGTGATTTTGTGTCTCAGCTTAACCTCTTTTTTTTTTTTTTTTTTTTTTTAGTTTGATATGTTTTGTCTCCACCTCTTCTATACCTATTTTTTTTTTCTTTTTCTCCCACGTTTTCCGCGAATTGTTATATGTCTATTTTTTTTTTAACAGGTGGCAAAGGATGCAGGATCCCATGGAGTTTATGAGGCGGATTGAGAGCATTTCGGAGTATGGGCATCTATTCCAGTTCATGCTTGATGATGTCACCCCTGACGATCCGGAATTAACACGCACACGGCACTACTACGTCGTGTCAAAAGACCAGTCGTATGCACGTGCCTACTGCTACCTGGTCTTAAGCCTCTGTGAACTAAAAGAAGGTGGAAATTTGAGCCGCTGGTTGGCACTCTACAGTCACATTTTTGGTACCATTACTTCCGAACGCTTTCTTGAATTACTTCTTAGCATTGCACGAGGATGTTTTGGTCAGTATGCCTTCTTTGTCGATGAGTATGTCGCACGTTTGGCTTTTTGTGCTTTGACGACATGCGAGCCCTTGAAATTGTGCGAGCGAGCAGACGGAGAGTCGCACAAGCACTTGTTGCAGACACCGAGGGATGCTGAGACGGTAGAACCAAAAGAGTTCTTCTTTGATGTTGACAGGCAACGCCACTTTGAGGCGGATTGGCCGAAGGGAACTGCGTCCCCAAGCATGTCGTTTGCAGAACGCATACAGTTGGAGAAGCAATCACAGGAGTCGCAACTTCTTCTACAGGTAAAGACTAGTCAGCACGAGCGAGAGGTGTCTGCTCTGCGTGATGCGATGGTAAAAATGGAGCAGAAACTGATTTGGCATGAACGGGCGCATCAGCAAAGAATTCACCATCACTTTTTCGAACATCAGGACGAGATGCAACGCCTTGAGAATGAAATGAAACAACGAGAGACGGAACTCCGTCGCGCGATGGACACGATTCTCAGGGATCAGGAGAGTCTGCTCCAGCAGGTATCGGAAGAGAACGCCTCCTTAAAGCAGCGTCACCACGAGGCGAAGATAGAGACAGAGCGCTGGCGCATGGAATGTCAGGAGCTCAAGCATAGATTAAACAGCACCGTAATGACGGCCGTTTGTCCATTGGACTCCGTCAGTCGGGAACAATACAGCGATCTCGATCGGCGGCACCAACTTCTTCATAAGGAGTTTGACGAGTTGTCATTGGAGAGGTCAGAAATGGAGCAGCAGCTACAGCAGGCACGGCAGGAAGCACATCAACGGCGCGTAGAACTGGATAGCACGTTGGAAGTGCTGAATTCATTGAGGAAAGGGCTCGACTACGTCGGCCGCGAGTTACCGTTGATGTGTGAGATGCCCGTTACGTATACTGCCTGAAACCTTTACGTGCAAGAGGAGAGAGGGAGAGAAAGATAAAATTGGGGAGAAATGCGTTGTATATTACAAGAACATGAATGGAGGAGGGAGGGGGGAAAAAAACAAGGGAACGAGAATCGAGGGGCATGTAGATTTTTATCCACTTTCCATTGCAAAAATACGTGTTTTTTACTTTTATATCTTATTGATAAATAACCCCGAGTGTTGCACACACACGCACACACACACACACAGGTGTATTATCCTCCTTTTATTCCACTTCTGCACAAATTTACTACAAGGCGGGAAAATGTTTGATCGCGAGACACAGACACCGGAGAGCCAAGTAGGGGCGCAGCTTCGCATCCACTTTAGGGGTTTGTCCCGCCGCATGGGTTTAGTCGCAGTGGCCGTGGCTCTGCTGTCTATCCTGAATGGCTGTTCGTACTACTTATACTGGCGCCCCCTCTTCGCGTACAACTCCTCACCACCAGTTGCGCTTTACGCCACTATCGCAGGGGTATTTTTTCTATTCATTATGACACAAGGAATTATTCAGATAGCACTTCGCACAATGATCGAACACATTAGCTCTAGCAGGCGAGAGAGAGAAATTAGACGCTGTTACTTTTTCTTTGTTCTCGCACTGTTACCGGCAACTTCAGGACAATTGAGCCTGTACGCTAACGGTTGGATTAAAGCCTCCGAAACAAACGCCGTGATATGTATTTTCACGATTTCTTTGAATCTTTTTTGTATTCTCTGTTCGTTGGCGCACGTATGGGTCTCTATATGTGTTCACTGGATTCACATGGGTGTGTTTCGCGCCGCGTTGGAGAAGCGTGCTGAGAGGCGAAATAGTTGGGAAAAGCAACTTGCATACATTATATCTACAGTAAAATTCCCTGCTTCCTCCCCGTATTTGGACCCACATAGGCCATCGGTTGAAACGTAGATGTGAGGTTGTGACAATTGCTGTGGTGTGGAGTGTGCACCCAGTTCTCACACACAGACAAACACACATGCCCTTTGTACCAGTACAAGTAAATGTAGCACAGGGCTTTTCTGCTGGTGTCACTACATTTTGGGGTCTGCTGCTCCGTGATCAGTTTGTGTTTCCTTCCGTTCACCCCATCCTTTCTTGCCGCTTCACTGCTTTTTTGGTTCTTCTTGCCATCTCAAAAAAAAAAAACAAAAACGAAGAGAAAATTTATTTTTTAATACTTTTTACTGTTTATTGATCAATCATGAATCCCCTCAGCTACACGGATGGGCGTCTCGACAAAACCCTGAGCCAGCTGAAGCCGCTTTTCATGAAAGCTTTTTCTGCGCACGATGACTCTGATGTGGAGTGGATTTTATTTGCCTTTGCTCCCGGACGCGTCAACTTTATTGGCGAGCACGTCGACTACATGGGCGGGTACGTCTGCCCTGCGGCGGTGGGGGACGGCTGCCACATCCTTGTGGGCCGCGTGAAGCACATCACTGATCACAAGCTACGCTTTTCTACGACTCGCGATGAGTATTTTGAACTTGGCCACCTCGGCGAAAAGGACCACAATAAGGCGTGGACGACCTTCATCCGTGGCGCGACTTCGATTCGGCTTTCGCACCACGGCGTGAAGCTTGGGGCTGAGCCTCTGAAGGGCATCTGCATGATGATCCTCGGAACGCTTGAGATGGGGGCTGGTATGAGTGCATCCGCCTCGTTTGGTATCGCGCTGCTTAACGCGCTCAGCACGACGATTACCGGTCGCTACAAGAACCCTCAGCTAACGCCGGGTCGTCGGTACGCCATCCTCCCACGTGAGTCGCACGACGAAATGATTGAGCTTGTGAAGCAAGGCCGTCGCATTGAAACCGAGTTCTGCGGCGTGCAGGTTGGTATCATGGACCAGTTTGCCTCCGCCTTCTCCGTCTCGAATAAGTTTATGGTGCTTGACTGTACGGCGCTGACACACAAACTCTGCGACATCACACCAGTGACGGGTGATGATGCCTGCTTCCTTCTCATCGACTCAATGATCAAGCACGACCTGCTTGGGGCAACGTCTGGAACTTACAACACAGTGCGGAGCGACCAGGAACAGGCGCAGGAGAAGATCTCGAAGCAAATCCTGGGTGGAAAGCCGTTCACCTTTACCGAACTTGTGCGTGATCCACACAAGTACACCACTACTGGCGACGCTGTCCACTTCATTAAGTCCTGTCAGAAGCAACTCACCCGCGGCGAGTTTGAGCGCGGATACTACAACGTCACCGAGCAGATCCGCACGCGTGACTTCATCGCTCTCACAGATGCAAGCACCGGCCTGACACACGAGGAGCGGTTCAGGGAGGCGGGTCGCATCCTCAACGAGGCGCACGAGGGTATGAAGACGCTCATGAAAATTACGACGGCAGAGCTGGACTTTATTCACGAGACCATCAACCAAGTACCCGGAGTCGCGGGTGGACGCATGATGGGTGGCGGATTTGGCGGCTGCATTATTCTGCTTCTCAAGAAAAACGTCGTGGACAGTGTCGTGTGCCGCGTGCGTGAAAAGTTTAAGGCACGTTTTGGCGTGGAAAACAAAGTCTACCCCGTGGTGATGGGGGACGGCGCATTCGTGGTGTCTTTGGCGAACAAAACTGGGCCCGATAGCAACCTGTAGGAAAATACATTTTTGTGTCTTCATATAATAGTTGTGGATATATAATATGCGCACAGGTGAAAATAAATAAATAAGAAGGAGCGTCTTGTTTGAACACTTTGTTTTTTTCTGCACGACCCGATTGTTATCTTCCGTGATATCGCAATGTGGATTTCAGCGAGCGCGGTTTTGTGGTTGTTGTTGTTTCTTCTGTTATCCCACCCATCCCCTGTTACTTTCCTCCACGAGGGGGGAGGAAGCCCGGCAGATGCGGGGGGACATAAATGAAGAATGCTGTTTTTTGCGTCCACAACAAGCTCGGTTTTTCGTAGACTGATGTATGAATCCATTTGTGTACGAGCGTTGGGCGGATCTCATCTGAATTGGGAGCCGTTGGGGAGGGCGCATTGAACCAAATTTTGATCGCCCCTCGTTGTAGTCTTGTCTCTTGTGGGAAGAAATGACAAGGCCTCATCCAGACGCAAATTTTGTTCACGTTTTTTTCTCTTTTTTTTTTATCAAACAATTGTAGCTGAACGTTTTTTAGTTTAGCAAATCTTTACTTCGGCTGTGCCAGCGCACAGAACATCAAAACGATTTATTTATTTAAATTTTTTTTTTTTGGGGGGGGGTTGTTTGTTTGTTCTTCGCCGTCCACTTTATAATCTTTAGTACTCTCTCTCTCTCTCTCTCTCTCTCTCTCTCTCTCTCTCTGGGGATAACTTTTTTTTCTTCTTTTTTTTGTCCGTGTGTTTTGGATTTTTCCCAGCGGACGCACACATTTTTAACCGAACACTGGATGTCTGTGTGTGCGTGTGGTGGGAGGGGGACGAACACCCGCTGATGGCGGCTGTGTGATGAGTGTGCAGCCACGTTTCGTTTCAGTCCTCTTTTTTCCTTTTTTTTTTTTTTTTAGAGCATCTTTTGTGATTAATTTTTTTAGGTACCACACAGAGATGGATAACTGTTCCCGTGAGAGCCGCGTCCTCCTGTTAAGACTGTGCAGTATTTGGGGGTTTATTATCGGTTCTTGGGCCGTGTTGCAAGTTGCTACACCTCTCGTTCTGAAGGATATTGTGGGAAAAGATGTGGCACCGACTTGGCAGGGTCTCTTTTCTGCCACGACGGCAGTGAGTGGAATGATTTTTTGTGCTCTCACCGGCCACTTCTCGGATCGTATTGGCCGTCTTGAGTTTTTGACACCGTGGGTCATTTTCTTTTTCTTCACGACGATTTTGGTTGTGTTTGCCGATATCACTGGTTCAATTTATATGCTGTGGGTGGCTCGAATAGCAGCTATTTCTATTCCGTCGACAATAATGCATGCATTTCTGTCAGACTACCTGAGCGGTAACGCATTGTTGGAATCTTTTGGGTATGTTGGGGCGACTTTTGGAACGTCGATGCTCACTTCCTCACTTTTGTGTGGGTTGATTAGTCGGTACTATTCACGTGTTGCTGCTTTGACTTTTGGGTCTTCTCTTGCGGCTGTGGGCGTTATTTTTACTTTGGCACTAAAACCCCCGAGCAAATTTCGATTAAATTCTCCCACGGCATTTGTTAACACAGAGGGCACGAATTTGTTTCACTCCGCTGGTGGTGTAATGAATAGCATACGTATTATATCCAGTGATGCATTGTTGAGGAATCTTATTTGTGCTATGGCCCTCCTTCGTGTTGGTAACGTTAACACACACATGATGCTTGTGCTTTTCGTGGACTTTCGCCTTGGTTGGGGATTACCGGAGATGAGTGTGCTGGCAGGTTTTTCTGCGCTTCTCACTGTGATCTTTCAACTTATTGGCGTCAGGTTTCTGATCTCGAGCGATATTGTATTACCTGTGCTTTTTGTTCTTTTGGCTGTGGTTCCTATAGTAGCTATGGGCTACGCCCTAGCGATGACAGGTGCTCAAATGTACCTGATCTCCATTTTGACCTCAATGATGACAATTGCATCTACCATATGTAACGCAAAGATCACCGCGATTGCTTCGGAAAACGGCGTTGCTGGTTTGGCGCTAGGATGCGTGGGAACCCTGCAGAATATATTAGAAGTTTTTGCATCTCTTTTTCTTGGAAGACTGTTGTCGTGGTCCTTTGAGAATCAACCACGCACGCATGTCCTGAGCGGTCTCCCCTTTATTGTGAATGGGGCCTTTTTGACCCTTGTTGTGATGATTGTGCTTTACTCCCACAAACGCCATGGAGCCGGTAGGGCCTCTTGGATAGAGGGGGTACATCCTGGGTGAGCACCGGGCAATGAATGTTCCCACACCTTATTTGGTTGAAAATGGGATATAGATTTACCTGCAATGAAGCCTATTGTTTGTTTGTTTTTTTTTCGGTTGTTGGTTTTTTTTTTTTTGTTTTTTTTTTTTTTTGTGTGTGTGTGTGTGTTTCTCGTTATTTACTTCGGTGCGTGTGAATTCTGTGATCTTTTTGTTGTGATCCCGGGGATGACCACTTTGACGTTCGTGTAGATTTTCAGATCTAATTTATCTATACACGTATTATTAGTCACGTAGTTGTATGTATATATACATGCACATATATATGTATATTATTATTATTATTATTATTATTATTATTATTATTATTATAAAAGTAAATTAAATATTTATTTACTTTTACTTTCTCTTTTACTGTTCGATATGTATTGACGTTGCCCTCCCCCTCTTTCTCTCCTTTCTCTTTGTGTCTCTCTGCCTTGCGCGTTTTTTTTTTTTTTTTATAAGAGAAAAAAGGGGGGTCCGTCACCGTAACATTTTTTTTTTTGGTTGTTTTGCTTTGTGCGTTAAACCTTTTCGTGCGCCGTTGGACTTCTGGTGGTGTAATTGCTCCATGTGCTCTGGCCTGCCGGAGAAAAACGAGAGTACATCGAGGTTGGCAATGATGAGTCTTTTGTTGTTTCTGGTGGTAGTGGTGGTGGTGGGAGGGAAGGGGAAATGGCATTCCTTGAGCCTTTTTGTTGTTGTTATTGTTGGTTTTCCCCATTTACTTTCCCTTTCTCCCTTAGGGAAAAGGCAGAATATATACTCCCATACACATCAATATTTATCTTTAGAAAGAAAAAGAGAGGGAGAGAGAGAGAGAGAAGGAAAGGGAAAGGGAAGAAGTGAGTATTTATTTTATTTATTTGTTGGTTCCTGTTGAATATGTTTCGTTTCACCTCTGCTTTGGGACTTAGGTACTGCGGTATTGCACGATGTGCCGCGCTACAAACTCCGACTCCTGTGACTCTTCTCTCGGAGAGTGAGAAGATGCTTTTGGATTCCGTGCGTCAGTTTACGGACCGAGTTCTAAAACCACGGGCTCGTAGGATGGACGAGGCAAGTGCCATGGAGAAGGAGGTCATTAAGGAACTGTTTGAGGCAGGACTTATGAGCATCGAGATCCCCGCGGAGCACGGAGGTGGGGATATGTCTTTTTTTTCAAGCATTTTGGCTATTGAAGAAATTTCGCGTGTTGATCCATCGGTGTCAGTACTTGTGGATGTACACAATACCCTTGTGAACAATATTTTTCTTCGATTTGCGAACAGTGAGCAAAACGCGAAATTTCTTCCGGATTTGGCATCATCATGTGTAGGGTGCTTTTGTCTCACCGAGGCGGAGAGTGGAAGTGACGCCTTTGCTCTCAGGACCCGTGCCGAGAAGAAGGGTGATCGATGGGTGATCAATGGATCAAAGATATTTATTACCAACGGTGGTTATGCAGACATCTTTCTTGTCATGGCAAACGTGGACCCTTCAAAGGGATACAAGGGGATTACCTGTTTTGTGGTGGACAAGAGAAAATCATCGGGCATACATGTTGGCCGACCCTTGGACAAGTTGGGCCTTCGCGCCAGTTCGACGGTTGAGATAAACTTTGAGAACTGCGAGGTTCCCGAAGAGAATGTAATTGGAGAGGTTGGTAAGGGATACCAGATTGCCATTGCAACACTTAATGAGGGTCGTATTGGAATCGGGGCGCAGATGGTTGGCATCGCTCAAGGGGCAATGGATATTGTCATGCCATACCTGTTCCAGCGAAAGCAATTCAACACACCAGTTGGAGATTTTCAGGCGCTGCAGATGCAGTACGCGCAGTGTGCCACCAACATCTACGCAGCGCGTCTTATGGTGTACAACGCGGCAAGAAAGAAGTTAATGGGTGAGTCTTTTGTGAAGGAGGCTGCGATGGCAAAGCTATTTGGCTCTCAGGTGGCTGAACAAACGGCTAGCAAGGCAATTGAGTGGGCTGGTGGCATTGGCTTCACGAGGGATTTCAGTCTTGAACGTCTCTATCGTGACGCCAAGATTGGCGCCATCTACGAGGGGACATCCATCATTCAGTTACAGACAATCGCAAAGCTGATTAAAAAGGAATATAACTGAATGGTTTGGAGAAGAGTTCTTTACTCGTCCCGCTTCTTCTTTTTTCTTCTTCTTCCTCCTTTTTTTTTTCGTTTCCCTTTTGGTCTGCGGCTTCTGCCATGTGAAACGCCAATCAATGCATCATGTTGGAGGGGTTTTTTTTTTTTTTGAGTTTGTGCGAAAGTTTTTTTGTTTTTTTTTTTGGTTGTTTGCGATCGAGCATTTGGGTGATGGGCAAAAAAATAGGAAGAGTGGGAGGCGAATTTATTTTGAAGCACAAAGATTACGAAGAAATGGATTTCGCTTCCGTCAGCAGTCTGTTTTTTATTTGTTGATATTTTTTTGTTTTGTTTTGTTTTGTTGCGCATGTATGTTGGAAGTACTTCCCCATTGCCTTCCTCCTGCCTCTCATGTATTCTTTCCACACACCCACACCCACGTTTTTTGTTGTTGTTTTTGCTGTGGGGGAAGGGGGAGGGGTTTTGTGGATGCTTTGGGTTTCAGCGTGCATCGGGTTGGTTGCGGGAGGTGGATTTGGCGTTGGATGCCGCGCATGAGGCCTGCCCGTCTCTCCGTGCGAGGTCCGGAATGTCGTTGCGGAACGCGAAAACACACACGCGGACGCGGGCGGAACGGGTACGGCAGATTGGCGCCAGAGCGGCTGAAGACCCCGTTAAAAACACAACCGCGCGACGTTACACGCCTCAGTTGATGGAGCCAAATTGTGTCTTTGTGTGTGGTGGGGGTGTTGTTGTGCTTTGTTCTTCCACCACCGCAAATTGATCCACGGAACTTTTTTTTTTTTTTTTTCCTTTTTGATTCTACTCCTTTTTTTTGGTTTTCCTTTCTGAAGTCTCCCGTTATTCCTGCCACGGCTCTTCTCTCTCCATTCTCTTTTTTTTTATTATTTTTTGTTTTTTTGCTTTTTTTATTTCCGCCTGGCAAATCTCCGAGGAAGCAGCCCTGCTGGAGCCTCGTCATCCGTGCCATTGCAATGGCGTCACGGGATCGTACCGCCGAGTTTCTACAGTACCGTAGTGTTCGACCGAGGCACCCCGACGCGCAGCGACTACTTGAGGAGGAGGAGCAGTTGCATAGTGTATATGTCACCCCGCTTTGGGTGGAGAAGATGGATGACATCCGCGCCATAGAAAAAAAGATTCAGGAACAAATGGAGATCCTCGAGGGCCTGCGGCGAAATCACCTCAAGATTGAGTTCAGCTCAACCCGGGATGAGGGCCAAGAGGAGGTGCGGATTGAACGGGCTCAGGACGTCATTGATAGTCTGTTTAAACAGTGTGAGAAGGTCGTGAAGGATCTGGAGACCGCCTACATGCGTGATCTCCCTGATAGCGGCACGGACTTGGAGTTGAGTATTCTTCGGAACGTAAAAATGTGTCTTATCAATGAGCTTAACAATATCAGCAAGATTTATCGTGAGAGACAAAGGCGTTACATGATGGACGTGAAAAAGCAGCAGGCGGTGGCCCAACGTTGGGCGGGTGGTGAGCATCAACGTGTCATTGAACAACAGCTGGAAACGGACGCCGTGATGGATCAATATCTCCAGAAGGGCATGACACAAGAACAGGTGGAGACCATTCTGCTGAATCACCATATGGTGGATGAGCGGGTAAAAGAATTTGATAGGATATATGCGTCAATCAAGTCCTTGCATGAAATGTTTAAGGACATGAATACACTTGTCATTGAACAGGGCGCTGTGATTGACCGCATAGATTACAACATGACAATCACACACGCACGTGTACAGAAGGCAAAGGCGGAGTTGCAACGAGCGGCCGAATATCAGCAAGCGGGGGGATTCAAAATTTGCGTCTTGTTTTTAGTTGTTCTCATCATTGGACTGTTGATTGCTCTCTTTTTGAAGGCGGTGACGTGACAAGTGGAGGAAACCCAAAGAAAAGCAACAAGGAATGACTGGGGAAAGAAGAGGAAAGAAAGAGAGGCCGGTTGCTTGCCATTGCTTTGCGTGTTTTCTTTTTCTCGGTGTGTGTGTGTGTGTGGCGCACAAACAGTACAGGGCCACTTAGCCCTACTGGTTGGAAGTCTGTCGTTAGCAGAAGATTAAAAAAACAAGTGAACGTTCCATGAATGATTTGTATATTTTATTGTCGTGGCTGCACCGTCCCCTCCCCTCCCTCTTGCTTTAAAAGCGGAGATGGCTGCTGCCTTGCGCTTACCAGCAGACTCTTTTTGTTGTGGTTGTTGTTGCCTTCTTTTCTTCTTTGTTTTTCTCTTGGAGGGGGTGGCTTTTTCCGTTCAGGGTTGTGGTGATGCTCTGAAGGAGCTTCTCAAGCAAAGAAGTAACACGCCACATGATGCAACCAGACATGAGCCTCCTTCCTCTTTACAGATCGCTGTTGAGGCGAATTCATGCCGCTCAACGTCTCCCCCATCACCTGCAGGATATCCGCTTTATTCTCTCCTACCCGCTCGTGGAAGCCGCCTCACGCACAGTCACGAGTTCTGGTGAAGTCTGCGGCTCCGGTTTACTGCGGCAGCACCGAGTGGACCCCTCCCACGTTGTTCGGGCCTGCTGTGATGATCTCCACCGTGCGTTACTGTCATATTCACACGTTTGCGACACTCCGTCAACATCGCGTCCTTTACCCCCCGTTGCGCAGCGGTTCATTCACATGCGCGAGCTGGCGTGGCTTAAAACGAGGCTGGAAAAAGTGCTTAGTGAGTCAACCCAAACGATACTGAACGAGGCAGAAATGGTGGCATCTGAACTCAACGAAACGGACTTTCTTGATGATGCGCTTTTTGTAGAGAAGGACCCCACGAAAGATGGAGAAGCGGAAAAGGTATGGAGATCTCACGACAACACGGAAGAAGACACGTGCGCTACCGGAGTGGCATCAGCG